ATCGTGTCAATAGCTCTGGCCATTTCCCCATTCCACAGTTCAACCACAGCATCAACAGAAGCACCAGCCTTATCAACCAGAAACTCCCCCAGAGCCTTGAGGAATCCATTGGGATCCATCCAGTTCCAAGGGCAGACCAACACAATAGGGTCCACACCCTTACAGAAGGAAAGGCTAGCTTCGAGCTCAAACCTCACAAGAAAGTGATCTGACCATGACAAGGGAGTCAGACGCAAGTTCCTCACCCTCAGATCACCCTCTTCCTGCCACGTCAAGAAAACCAGGCCAGCGTGTGTCCACATTCATGGGTCAGGCCAATGACATGTTGAGACAGCCCCATGACCATCATGGAGGCCATGAAGTCCTGAGCCGCCCAGGTCAGAACAGTCTTGGCATGGAGATTGAAGTCCCCCAGGACCAACATCCTGGGGGTCTTCAACACCAGGTCCGAGACGATCTCCGTCAGCTCCGACAGGGAGTCTGATGGGTAGAAGGGTGCACGGTACACCAGCAGAATCCCCAGTCTGTCTCGGTCTCCCAACGCCAGGTAGAGGCAAGCTAGACCTGGTCTCAAGAGAACAGGAAGCCCCACAAAGGAGATAGAAGTTTGATAAATTAAAGCGATGCCCCTCCCCTCTGGGCATGGCTGGTGCTGGACTAGATACCCAGGTGGGCACAGTAGAGAGAGGGACACATCCCCACCCCCTCCCGCCCAGGCCTCTGTTATGCAGGCCATGTTGGCCCCCTCATCCACAATTAGGTCGTGGATGAGGGATGTTGTGTTGTGGACCAACCTGGCATTAAGCAACAGCACTGTCAGCCCGAGGGGCAGTTGGTAAGAATACCTGGAACCTTCCAGCTGGGGGAATTACCAGAAGGGGGACAGGTGTCAACCATCTGTTCTTCCTTCTTCTATGCCAACATGTTAAACCCCCAACGCCATAATGACCATTGCCCAAGATCACCCCAATGGTAGCGCCCACGCGCTCCCCAGACAACCTCATGGTAGCAGCCAGGTATGAATCCACTAAAACAATCTAAGTTAAAATACAATTTAAAATACAATAAAACCATAAAACCCTCCAACCACCAACCACCCAATTACAAAAATCCATCCACACAGGGCCTATAGCCAGCCCAGCCCTACACATGGCCCCGAACAGCCACAAATGGCATCAATGTCCTTAGGCCGTCGCCCTTTGGCCGCCAGCCCAAGGCCACCAGCCCCGGCCGCAGCCATTGAGTTAAGCCAGCGGCCCCTCCCCATGCCCTGTCCCCAATCTGGCACAGCTGCCACCCACACCGGCAGGCACGGGGGGCAAAGGTGGCCGCAGAGAAACTCGCCGGTGCCAATGGAGGGCCCGCAGGCTGGCAGCAGCATCCCCTGATCCTGAGGCAGCTGCCATCCATCTGTCGGGCAGCGGCGGTGTCAGCGGGCAGGACGGGGCGGCCTCGGCATCTGCGAGCAGCGGTGG